AAGGCGAGGTGATTTATAGCACCCGCCGGATGAGCCCATGCACTTTTGTGCAGGACGAGTGCGCTCTAGACAGCCCGGATTTCCTCCGAGTCGCAGGCTGTGTCTGCCTTGCAGTCCCCGTTCCAGGTTCGGTGGCTGCTGGCGAGATGCCCACTTCCTACCCGTACAGGCACCAGGCCCCTGAGGCCAGGCGGGTGTGCGAGGCCCTGCCCCAGGAGAGCCGGCGGCAGATGGAGTTAATGTTCTTGTCCTCTTTCCCCTCACAGACCACGTCTCGGTTGGAGGACTCGGGGACAGTTTTTATGAATATTTGATCAAATCCTGGTTGATGTCGGGCAAGACAGATATGGAGGCTAAAAATATGTACTACGAAGCCTTGGAGGTAAGACAAGCACTGGATTATTCACAGGCCGCTGGTCACCAGCCTCCGGCTCTCTCACAGGCCCCTGAGTGCTGGGGCTGCGGGGCCAGATGGGCTGAGGCTTGCTCCTACCCCCTGCAGTGAACTGGTGAGAAGATTGACAGGACAGCCCCCTCCCAGCCAGGCATTTTACACCCCTGCGACCCTCCCACATGCTCTAAGACGGAGGCTGTGTCAGATGCAAAACCCAAGCTCAGGTTGGTGAAGTCATGTGTCCGAGGTCTCCTCGGAAGTGACCATCAGTCTGATTCAGAAACCGCCACCTGCTCGGTGTCTGTGCTTCGGCTGATGTGTCAGAGCCCAGAATGCAGCCAGACTGGGGGCTGGCACCCCCAAGGGTGGCTGCCAGAGTGCGACCCTCAGCCGTGTCTTCCTTGGACAACAGAGGTGACAGGAGAAGTATGTCCAAGCTGGAAGAGGCCTCCTTCAGTGGAGCATCCAGTTTTGCTCCTTCTCTTTATGTGGATGGAAACCAAGGCCTAGAGAGGGGAAAGCACTTGCCCAAGGCCGCACAGCACAGAGCTGACCAAGCTGGCACCACTGGTGGTCTGTCCACGGAGTGTGGAATGAACGAGGGCTGGAAGGCTGAGGTGAGTCCCTCCAAAGAGGAGAGACCAGGACAGAAGGGGGAAGCAGTTAGCTTGAGCCATTGGGAAGAGGGCTAGGGAATCCCACGACTCAACAGATACCTCGGAGTCCAACTAAGGAAAAGGCACTGGGCCGGCTCTGGGCCTCAGTTTCCCCTTAAAGCAAGTTGAGCAAGTTGGATCTACTCTGCCACCACCTTGGTCTACACTACCTCCTTATTTCCTCCAAACCAGCTTCCCCTCTGCCCTGCTCTCTGAATGCTGTGTGGGGAACAGAAGCCAGAAGAGCTGGACATGCACATCCCTCTCCTCTCTGGCCCCCCTTAGCACCTGGAATAAATCCAACTCCTCTCCTTTACCCATCAGGTCCGCCTTCCCTGGGCCCTGCTGATCACCCTGACTTCACGCCTGCCTCTCTGCCCTGTGCTCTCTGGGCCCTGGCACCAGTCTTCCTGCTCTTCCTCAGACACCCCAGGCGACTCCCACCTCAGGGCCTTTGTACTTGCTGTCCCCTCTGCCTGGAATATCATTCCAATGGCTAGGTCCCACTCACTAGTCAACTGTCAATTCAGATGCCACTGAAACTACCATTCCCAGCCTATCACATACCCAGGCTTATTCTCTTCACCTTCATCACCCTCTACAATTATCACAGGCATGTATTTGTTTACTTGCTCATTCTCTTATCTTCCTCAAATAGAATGTCAGTTATCTGGGATCAGAGATCTTGTCTGCTCCTAAAACTGCCTGGCACATAGCAGGCACATGGTAACTGTTTTGTGAACAAATGAATGAATGCATGCATACATGAATGCTGAAAGGATGGATGGAGGGAAGGATAGATGGATGGAGGGAAGGATGGATGGATGGAGGGAAGGATGGATGGAGGGAAGGATGGATGGATGGTGGGAAGGATGGATGGA